TTCAGAAATTTAGATTTATAGTAATGGCACAGTGTACCCTGTACCACCCTGGGGTTTGTAACGTCAGAGGTTAGACTGGCTGCCGACAAGTCGCTCTCCCTTTTGTTTCCTGTCTGCCTCTACATGACTCACTAATTAATTGATGCATAAAACCCCAAAAATAAATCTTTAAAAAACATGATCTTTATAAAGACCCACACATGGTTCAGTCTGAGAACAGTCAATACAGTAAAATTACTGACTTACTGTAATAAGAAAAGTGATCCTCTTGTTTGTATTGTTTAATGTTGGCTATCTGTCATTCACTATCAGTGTAGCCAGAATTAAAGCTGCACTAATCAATATTTTAAAGTAACAATGTATAAAAAGACTTTGCATAGTGTGAAGAGAGCTTCACCTTGGACTGATATTGTGAGACCAAATGAATGCTAATGTTGTTCTGTGTCTTCTGAATGAGAAAACATTGCTATGGTTTGCTAACAACTTGTCAGTCAGTGTTGTGTTTACAATTTGTTGCACTGCCTCCAAGTAACCAAAAAAAAAAAATCTTAATTGCTGTTTTAACATCTGAAAGAAACTGGCTCAATCAGGAATAGTAGAAGAAAGTCACACAAGGGCTGCAGTAACAGCCACAACTTGCTCCAAAACACTAGATAAGAATTTATTGCTAGCACTGTGAACTTATTCAATTCCGAATGATTCACATATAAACTCCACCAGTTTAATGTAGTTATACCTACAATATTTTCCAAATGAATAATTAAATAAACTACCTATCTAACTAACTAACTAATTAACCAGACCAGATGCTGGTCCAGCAAGTATACTAAGAGAATACTGTTTGACTGCTTAAAATTTAGTCCCAGTATAAAAATTGCATTATGACATTTCACACCTCCTCATTGTCCACCTCCATATACAAAGTGGTGTTATAGCAGGTGGTGAGTCATCACTGTGAGCGATAATGTAAAACACCACCTCTAATGTAATCAAGGAGTCATCAGTGTCATCATATTTCAAATTCTACTGGCAGGACATACACTATCACCAGGCAATCCCATTTCTACAGATTAACAATTAGTTTGTGTAAAACAATCCATCAACAAACCTGTGTCATGAAAAGCATTAAAGCAATCATACAAAAACACCAGAGAAAAATGTAGGTTTCAACATCTAAAATTCACTACAGTCAAGCAGCACCCTGTGATTCAACCCCTCAGCTAAAAAACACTGACTGTACCAGCTCAAACAAGACACCCTGTAGCAAAATTTAACTTTATTTTTCACATAACCAAGCCATCTGATGATCATGATTCATTTGTAAAAATAGCTGGGACATAATTTGACTAACATTCATTCTTGGTACCCTGTCACCATGCATTAACAGCTTTAATGAAGTGGCTTAATTTATCTGACTGCTCTACACATTTGTTTCAGGGATTTCTAACTATATTTTTGATAGAACCCACTTTCAGCTGAAACCATAAAAGTGCAGTGCAATCACAATTACTTACTGCATCCAGTCAATGTGAGCTACCCTGCGAGTTACATAATGCACACAATGAAAAATAAAATGCTGTGCAGTCTTAGTTGAGGTCTGCCCTACTTTTTCTTTTTACCTGGACTGTTTTATGCTTGGCTAATGCACAATGAAATAAACAACACTGTTGCATTTTTATCGGGAAAAAATATGGAGATATGCAAAGCATCTTTATTATTTATCTAATGAGAAACAAAAGGACAGCTTCTGGGAACTCAGCGGCCATAGAAGAGTGCATTTAAAAAATTGTTTTAACTGATCAAATGGATTTATGTGTGTAAGCGTGTGCATGTGTGTGTGGTGATGCGATGTGCAAGCTTGTGGTTCGACAGGGGACAGTTGACAGGTCTGGTGGCAAATCCTGTAATCCTCTCATCTGATCAAAGTAATACAGCAGCTTTTAAATGATTAAATTGAAAGGTACATTTTCAACTCCAATGTACTTTACAGTGCAATCAATGTACAGTAGGGGCACTGGGTAGGGCCAAACTTATGAGAGGACAGATCTACGTTTCTAGTTTTTACATTCGAGTTTAATTTCTTCTGCTGATTCTGTGGATTCGGATTCTGACTGGGGTAATTTATTTGATAAGGCTTCAGGGTAGGACACTAGTTTATTCTGGCAATTTCAGGAGACCCTTTGGTTTTTCAATCTCTGCACTTCTGTAATCTGGCAACCTGTAGCTAGATTTAAAGCTGTACTAATCAGTATCTTTATTTTTATTTTAACAATGAATCAAACAACTATGTGTAATGTGAGACTGGCCACTTGTAGTCACAAACCAACAAAGAATTACCCAACTCTATGCTTCCCTGTACAGCACTCACTGTTTTGGTCTAACAGCCCACTAATGTATTATTTTGGTCACCTCTCTTGTCAACCCCATTTCCGAAAGCAGCGGGTACAGTAGCTTTTTAAAAAAAAAAAAAAATACTGTGAAGAACCCATTTTACACTGTCTCCCAAGCACCAAACAGCAAACACTAGCAGCTGACTGATGATCATAGTACAGCGTTTAGCTCATAAAGAGCCAGATTTCCCATAAGGGGTTGCTGAAGACCAAGCCAGAGCTACATGGGGAGTGAATGATAGACTTAATGTGATTTAGCAGCCAGAAACACAGTTTTAAATGAATACTATTGTTGCTCAGTGTTTACTGCATGTATGATCACCAAAGCAACTTTATATGATGAATACAGTAGGTTGTCATTGTTGTGTTTATCAGTTGTTGTGCTGCCAATAGGTGTCCAAAAAAAATCAACTAATAGGTGATTGCTTTTTTTAATCTAGAAACATCTACTATGATCATCTAAATATGTGCAACCAATCAACTAACTATCAACAACAAACATGGATGATGATGTAATGCACTGCCTCTCAAAACTCAAATCACAGGAAAAACCTTTTAATCTCATTATTACACTCATTAATGGCGAGAGTAGTTGACTGTGTGAGAGAGCAATGTAACTAAATGAGTGCATGCTTGTATGGAGTAATTCCTTGTCAAACTGACAAGGAGCATGACTGAGAGAGAGGTCTCAGTTCCACACTGCTTTGTGGCTGTCTGGAGTGACAACTCTACTGACAGATTGTTTGTCTTTGAGGCTTCTGTTGTGTAATCTTCTGGATCTAATGACTTCAGCTTAGTAACCTGTCATGTCTCTTCCTTGGCTTGACATGGTACTTTAGGCAAGACACTGTACTGTATATATAATAGGAGAGCAGATGTACAACCGTGATTTTTAGGCTGAGTTCCAGATGCTGTTCTCTTTCTACTGGTTTTGCCATTCACCATCGTACAATGGGCTTCAGGGTGGAACAAAACAGAACAAGTGACTCTGTTGTCACTGTAGCACACTAAAAATTAGGATGAAATGTGTGTGTGTTTAGCTTTACAATTTTTTTTCTAAGATAGAGACACACTTACTTTATTTAGTAATATATCAATATGCTTATTCATTTTCCAGACCAGGTTTAGGAATGTGGCCATCACAATGTCCCCACCTCATCAAACTTTAAGGCTTAAAGTTGAAGTCATAAAACCACTGATTACTCACTGATGAGTAGTTTCAATAGTAGTAGTTTAAATAAACAAAGACCTAATGCTGCCCCACATTGAAAGTTTGCAATCATTCACTGTGTCATCACATGAGGTTGGTAAAAGAGCCAATGCTCCCTCCTACTTTATTAACACTACCAACAAAGCCAGAATAAACAGAATTTAAAACATAACCTGCACAGTATGTAGAAAACATATTATTAGCTGTTGTATTATATTCTCTTCAATCAGATGGGAATATTTGATGCTACAGTGGTAAATCATCCAGCTCTGGCTTAATGTTAGTCTGTTGTTAATGAAAGATTTAAATAAAGATACATGAGTTTAAGTGATGAACTGTGAATAAGAAATGAGCAACATTAACCTATAGTGTGTGTTAAAATGAGCCTTAAAGTCTGTGTGCTGGAATAAACTTGAGAACACACACACACACACACACACACACACACACACACGCACGCACACTTAAACCCCTCCCCCATTGACACTGACTGACAAATAAATCTGCTCTTCCTCCCCACAGCAATAAGCTGCCAACCTGTGGGAAGATATGCACTGAATAACCTGAACACTGATGACTTTTCATTACAAGCAATACTAAAGAAAAGATGATGACCAGAAGAGATTCTGATAATATGGTCAACAGAGTGATGCTATTCACATTACATCAAAGAGCCCCATCTTCTTTTTGTGCATTGATTAGCTGGGTCTATTTTATTCTCCTGCAGTATACTGCCGATTTGTATTATTTTTTAAAATCTCCTAAAAACTTTTAGGATCACATTTTTGATAGAAGTTGTTGCTCTGTCATGTTACTGTATTTGTTTTGTTTGTTTCTAGAGAATATGATAATGATCTATCATATTTCTGCACGTACAACTGCCAGATTAAAGTTTATAACAATGACATTATTGTCACTGGCAACCACACCCAGATCCTTTATGGGTTCCTTTTTTTCAACTATCTGAATCTATTGAATGCTTTTGACTATATTAAAAGTAATCAGTGATATCGTGTTTACTCCATATGACTCATGATTACTCCTTCGATTGCATCTGAGGTAAGTCACTGGAGATGTTTCATAGGTCAACCAATCCCCACAGAGCAGTTTGATAAGAACAGTAGACACCTTTGGGGTTGACGAACACCTGCATATTTTGCTAATGATGCAGGAGATTCACTCGTTACTACTGCATTGTAGATCAATGGCACACATCAAAGACTATGACAAACATATGGCTTTAGTCAAATAGAGGAAGGGAATGCATTACTGCAGGACTGAAGGTGCTGTAATTACAATTAAATAGTTGAATCTGTAAAATTGGTCAATGTTGACTGAAAAGGCTAGAAAGCATAAGTTGAACTGACTGTATGGTCTAAAAATGAATCCAGATGTCTTACCTTCACTGCAGTCCTTTCCATGGAAGCCTGTCTGAGAGCAGTCACATGATGGCTCATCGTTAATTAAACTGCAGACTCCTCCATTTAAGCATATGTTGGCTGCACCACAGAGGTCCTTCAAGACCCCTTCACTGTTGATCATTACAGACTCCGTGTTGTTGACCTTTATGTCTGTTATCCAGCCAGTGAAAGGCAGCTGATCCCTGACTGCAGCTGAAGTCATTCGTAATGCCACAGATCGTAATTCCGGTGGTATTCCACCAACAAACAAATGGCTGAAAACAGTCATATCCCGTCTTTTTGACTTCACCTCGGCCCACTTTATCTCACTGTCCACCATTAAGGTTGTGTTCTTAAAGTTTCTCCTTATCATGACTGCATGCCATTGGCTGTCGTTGACAGCTGTGTCAGATACAACGGTTGCTGGCTCGGCACAGAAGATGGAGAAACGAAGGCTGAGTTTACCGTTCAGTATGAGAAGTTCTAAAAAGTCACAAAATCCCTCATCATCGAAGTAAACGAGCAGCCCATGGGAACTCTTCGTTTTCATGTTGAAGCTCATTTCACTTTCACAACATGCATTCCACACTGGAAATCTAGCCCACTGTCCCTCAGCACCTGTAAATTCTAGACAAGTTCCTATTTCTACAAAGCAGCAAATGAGCAGCCCAACCCATATGATATGGGCACCATGTGGCTTTTGTAAAACCATTGTGTGATCACAAATTTTGCGTAGGTAGATAGTGACTTATAGGGTTAAATTTACTTATAAGAACCTTTGTTTAAGTGAGAGGTATGATGGGTTGAGAGTAGACTGGCATACGATTGATTGTCTACATGGATATACAGCTGTGAACTGATGCATTGCAAGACAATGTAAATGCTGTAATATATTTGCATAGCAATAGACTTAGCCAACACTTATTTCCTGGATCAAATATCATTACCTCTCATTGCTCAGGCCACTGGCCAAATCTCTCACTGTCTGTGCCAAAATAGTTTGAACTGTTTAAAGGTCCTCTCTGCCATGGCTATTTAGAGCAAAGTGACAAGGATACAAATATCCATTGTGTATACTCAGTCTAATTTATGTAATTATGGAACAGTCCCTCCTGGTGCCAGTCAGAGTGTGCACGGTTTCACTTGAGTTGAAATGGCAGCTTTAATCTTCACGTTCATGCCAACATTCTTCAGCGGGTAACTGGAAGCCTTGCTCAGGGATCTTCACCCTGAATCCTCTGTAGTAATGAAAAAATGCCATATGGAGCTACAGTGGCTGATAAGCTCAGTAAAAGAAGCTGTCTGTCAAGGCAGATCCCTGTCCCAAAAGGCTAAAAATGGAAGAAAACAAATGAAACAATTTTAATACAATATCACCATTTTCACCACATCTATTTCCAAATTCATTTTGGCCAAAGCCTGAGTTAAAAGTCAGAGATAATACTACGATTAAGGCAGAAGCCCAGTCATTGAAGCACTTGTATCCAACAGGCCTTTGTTACAACAAGCACAGGCTATATCTACAGTATACCTCTAGTCAGTATCACTGAATCATTACTTTATCTCAGTGGCAAAGTACTGTGTCAGAAATGTAGTCTTTTAACATGCAGTTCTTCAAATATATTTAGAAAATGCACGTCAATAAAATAAAAACTGATTATAATTATTTGTATAGCATCCAGAGGTTTACACATTTAGGCTATAAACAATTCCTGAAGACAATTTCAATTACCAAAAGGAAAGGATGAAAAAAGGATTACAATTTTCATTTTCATTTTTTTATGTTTCGCTTGTACTTCTCAAACTTCTGAAATCCTAAATGAGCATTATCAACGGCATTCCGATAAACCCCGGCCTGCCCTCTATTGACCTATGATGAGCGAAAAGTGCGTCATTTGATTCACAATGGTTGGTTTGTGTGAGACGAACAAGTCGTCCTGCTGCTGGGTCTTAGCCAAACCCCAAAATGTGCTCTTTGTAATGTTTATCTCATCGCTCTTTTTCCACTCAGACCATGAGACGAATTCTGCTTCTCAGCCACAAAGCCATACGTCTTACAAATGGAAGTAAAACAAGGCAGTAACCCGATTTACAGTCTCCGCAATTACTTTGCATTTCAGAGAATAAAAAATGCGCTGAACGGGCTGTAGATCGGATTTACGCAGGCACTGCACTTTAAACGGACAGAAACATCTGAATAAACAAAAAAATAACGTGAAATATCCTAGCGACCAGTAAATGATTATGCTTCAACTAAATTATGGAATAATCATCACCAGAATTTAGCGTTTTGCATATTTTGCCAAAACGGGACATCGTTCCCATTTTCGCCACCATCTCATCAATAACCTGCCCCAAACCTCAACATCTTACCGTTCCCCAGCTGTAAAGGGCGCACAATAATTTCAGTGTTGTTTCATGCGTATATCGGCGGCATTTTTCAGTCGCGTACAACTATAAACGTCTTTTGGTAAAACAAGATGAGGTTGTTATAACCTCTGCGTTTACACCTATACTTCTACGGGACCTTAAATAGTTGCAAAAAAATGGTGGTGGGGTGGGGGGGCTATTTCATGCAAAGCACCGCGGACCGAACGCCTGTAAATCAGGACTGCCCGTATTTGGGGTCTGTTTGAGAGCCTGTACCTCGAATCCTCTTTGGCGAAACCTTCACATTAAGATCTGCTTTCAAGTGAATCTCAGCATCAGCGAGAGAGAAAGGGAGAGACGGATCCACTTCCACTCTAACTCCTCTAAAAATCTCACAGGCTTACTTAAGGAAATTACCTTTAAATATTTCGTCCTCCAAGTTTGCTTCCAGACTGAAGAACAAAACACAACTAAAGAGAAAACTAACCTACGGATGGGGGCGTAAATCCAGTTATCGTTGTGGAAGAGAAGGTGCAATCTGGTCTCCCTGTTGAGCTTATCCAGCGACTGTCAGGAGCCACAGACGGAGCGTATCACGTGTCTCTCCGTGATGTCTACCGGGGAGGAGCTGAATGCAGTACCTTGGACAGCGCCTCTGACTCTATAAGCATCCATCTTCGGACATTTATGGCATAGGCAACTTTGGAGATAAGGCTTGTAAAGCTGCTGTGATTGATTAATTGATTAGACGAAAGGACACCAAAGGCAGGGGAGCAGTCAGAGATGGTTTAGGTACGAACTGTGTCTTTAAAGAAAAGTGCAACAGCTTCTTTTCCATTATGTATATACTTTGTATGCTAAACTCGATGCTGCTGGATTATTGCAGCACATACCGAAAGAAAGAAAACGACATCAGCCAACCAAGAGTTTTCAGTTGAGAGATCCAGCTGATTAATTAAATGCTCAATGATTGCTTACCCTTTGCTCAAGCAGTCCTTAACTGTTCATAGCATGTTAAGGATACTTTTATTACTTTTTGATGTCTCTAAGTAGGCTCATACTGTATCTTATACTGTATGACTGTCTGGAGAGGACCTACATCAACAAAGCATTCATGCATGTTCAAATTATTATTATTATCATTGTTATTACCATTGTTATTATTATTAATCCCTTGAGCAGTGTTTTTTTACACACCATTTGGAGTGTTTATAGTTATTTTTGAAACATTTATGAATACATTTTGTTTCCATAATGGAAACTGTTATTTTAAGCCAATAGAGTAGTTGTAGAGTGCTAATCATGAATGGCCTTAACCACTGTAAATACTGAAAGCAGTGGACTGCACATACACATTCTGCTTCCCACTGATAACCGTTTTAAGGCTGGAGCAATTAACAGACTAAAGGCTAAGGCAAAAGGTGTGATGATATGGGCCGTTGACTGCAACATTACTATAGTAATGTTCAGCACCTTTGTGTAGAAACTGGGCATCCAAATGAGTAAAGTGAGCACTAGTTCAGTGCATCAACAAGATGTCCTTGAACAAGGCACTTGAGGAATGACAGCTGCTGAGTGGGAGGAAGCACAAAGGCAAAAGAAAAAGGTTCTGATATCATTAGTTCTGTTTAAGACAGTATAGGAAAGGTCACTTACTATCATGTAGAGACATTTTATCAAAATATGATTGATATGATTGTTAACAAAAACACATTTTTATGTTGATGCTTGTGGGCTGGATGAGTGCTGATGTCTTAATATGGTAACGTCTCTATAGTGCTGTTTATTTTTATATATATATTTAGGAGTTATACATTTCTGAAACTTACTTGACAATACCATATGTTTTCACTGTAATACTAGTTCTGTTTTCTTCATGTAGAATAATACAAAGAACATACTGCAGTTTGCTTGACAGTATTGTTTGTGCTGTTAGTCCTCAGCCAACCTCTTCCCCTAAATTGCAGCCTTGTTATAGTTTTATGCATTTTATTCCAGCTGTCAGAAACAGTCAAACATTCACATTTGTCATTGGTTGCCATTAAAACGCAGCTTAAGTAGAAAACATATTTAAATATTGAACCTAATTTTGTATGTACTTTAAGATAAATTATGATGAATCATGAGGTTTAAAGTTGTAGTATCTGATACAGGGTAATACAGATAATACAAAATTAATAATTTTGTTGTTTACCTACCTGTTGACAGAGTATATCAAGCTACTTGATGCTAAGTTCACTTGAAAATTATAAATGTACATAGTACATTTTATCTACATACAATGAAATGAGTCTGATGCATGTTGCATCCACACAAAGCATGCCCCGCATCTGAATTTGTAGACTGTCTGGTGCAATTGTGGTGCAATCAATCTTTCAATTCAGTTGTGAAAAGCTGCCTGTAGTCACTCTATATGCAAAATGTGACCAGTAACCTCCTACATTTGTAAAATGCATGTAGAGTAAGGAGATTGTATTGTTGTCAGGGACATTTTGCCTATATGTTAACACACAAAATTCTTCAATATTGAATGAAGCCTGTATATATATGAATATTAACAGGGCTCAGTGATAATGGGGAACATAATTTGGGATTGATGCACCCTGCGAATTCACAGTAAAGTAAAGTAAAGGCACTGTAAATGCAAGTTGGACTGAATTAGAAGATTTCAAAATTGTAATAAATGTGAAAACATGTAAGGTATGCACTATCAGACTGGAAAGACTGTATTAGCAATTTTAGGACCCCTTTCAATCTATCATGTGTTTCTCAGTGCACAAAGAATTTTGATTATCTCCAAATAAATGTCCAACCCATCACTTTTTTATTAATTTAATAAGAAAAACCCTAGAAGCCATAATTGCCCACAGACAGAGATTTGTCTTTTGGAAGGCTTAAATACTGTAGGACCCAAGGTTAAAAGCAAAAACATTTTTTAAACTTTTGAGGTTACGGTTGCTTATGTTACTATGATGACAGATTGAGGAGAACATGAAGAGAAAGAAAGCGAGAGAGAGCACATTCAAGATTAATGGAGGTCTCAGCTGTCTGCGTTCATATTGGGGGGGAAAAAGTTAGCTTTCTGTTCATACATTAGTAATATTTTATTTTCCAAATAAATCTAAGTCAGAAGTTTAAAATCACATAACATTAAAATTAGTCAATTTTCTTACAGTAACTTTTTAACAAAAATAGGTTTACTGTAGAATCAGCTGCCATTTTTTCTTCCTGTTCTTCTGCCGCTGGTGCTTCTCCTCTTTAATGTTCTTTGGCACAAGATGACAACTCTCTTTTAAATTCAACAGACTCATATTTTGTGAACTCCTGGACCAAAAATGCAGTTGTCTCCAGATATGAGATTTGCTTTGATGCAGAAATTTTGAGTTCTCTATACACCAACATATTTTATTTTACAAAATCCACTTTTCTGGACTTTTGTGGTTTGCTATATATTTGGCTCCTCTTCCAGCTAAACGCATCCTGGTCCAGACCCTCTACTGAATGCATAGAGATGAAATTGATATTGATCTTCTCATCTACCTCTATGTGAGAAACAAATATATTTCCCAAAATGTTGAAGGAGACTTATTTAATGCTCAAAAGCAGAGATACTGTAAAAGAAGACCCCATTCTTGTATCACAGGTGAACTATAAAAGACACATAATGGGCCCTTGTCTCTCTTTCATGACTTCTAACACTGTGGCAGATCTGTGCTAGTGTATTTGATACTTTGAAATAAACAAATGGATATGATATGTTCTTCTTCTGAGCACTGTCGGTGAATGAATCTCATGTCTGGTTTAGATATGCATTTGGCTACTGTGGTAACACACAAGTATTTTAGCTTCACTCTTGTAAAAAGGGGCATATTGTTAGTAGGGGGCACACCACCAGTTTCTCCATAATTTTGGAGTGCTTCTCTTTCCATTACTCTTTTTCTTACCACCGATCTTAATGTATGGCAGATGCAGTCCAATATAATTGATACTATAGTGACCTGTTATTTTGTCATAAGCTCTTTGTGACCACTAAATAAAATCAATAACACTTTGAAATAGAGCAACACAACTTGTTCCTGGTCACTGGAATCAATCTTATTTTACAGTCCCCCTCCACTTAAAAATTGTGTTTTCCTTATTTTTACTTCGCACACAACCAATTGTGTGTTCTTTGCTGTACAGGACATGTGCAAAGTTTATGAGAAACATATACATCTTGAAGAAAGTGTATAGTATGGTGGGAAAAAATGAAGCTGTGAATGAACCTTGATTTTATTGCACTGGTTCTTACTTGAGCTCCTCTGACTAGAGGAGCATGGTAAGAGAAATTCTTCCAAGTTCTCTTTTCCCAGACTGCCTTAATTTAAAGCTACAATAAGGATTAATTGAAAATCTAGCTGGCAATAGCATGAGACTCTAGAATCAGTCGTCTCTGCTCCGCCCAGCCCTCCCTCTCCTTGCTTGCTCCTCTCTGCTATGTGCTTCACCCGACCCTTCCTGAATGAGAAACCATCACACAGTGTCACAGTCTGGAGAAGTTATCGGGCAGCATTCAATTGCTGGGCAGTAAAATAATGTATATCACCAAGCTGACTGTCTTGCTTCATGTCTTCTCCAGACTCCTGAGGGAAAATGACCAAGTGGAGACTACAACATATTCAACTGGTGGGCATCAAAATAATGTAATTCACAGACACAAATTGATTCTACAACTGTGGCAGACCAATCAGTGGCTTGTGTATAAACTTGCCTGGATGTAACTGTCTGATTATTATAACTGAAAGTAGTAACACAGTGACATCCTCAGCTTAGCCAGCTGCTGTTACAGTCACACTGTGAGTGCAAATGATACATTCTGGCATGATTTAGGTATAAGCACAAAGGGCAGCGGTTTAGATCAGCTAAACACTAAAATCAGGAGCTTGCTAGCCTGCAACGATGTCATTAGTGCTGAAAGGCACTCACAAATTGATTGACAGCCATCTGCTCCCACCCCTGATGGAGGCCTTCTCTGATTGGTTAAGAGTTGCATCCTGGTCAGAAAACTTTAGAAGGAAATATCTCTGCATTGCTGCCAGAATCTCTCCCCATCAAGAGAACCTTTTGGGATATTTCTACTAAAAAAATAAAAAATACTGTAGCTTTAAAAAACTATATATTTACCTCCAGTATGGCATCTCTGAAACTCATGCAAAAGGACATTACTTTCCTCTCAGGTAAAGATTTTCTGGCATGTATTCTACTTCCTACACCACTATATTCCCAAGTATTCTGCTCTATAAGATCATTGTTTTATCAGTGGGAAGGTCTGTATTTTACTTTTCAGGATATTTATTTTTGCGTGTTTGGGTTTAACAATGTAATGATTACATGTTCTTCTCCTTTAACCCACGGTTGAATGAGGATTACAGTTTAATTAATTTCACCCTATTTTTATCTCCTTGCAGTGAGATTGAAGCAAATGGGTGTGGTTTCAAAATTGGCTATAGGTGGAGAGTCAAGGTGGCAACAGGCACAACTGCATGTTATTAGGCTGATTAGCAGCCTGATAACATGCAGGGAGTAGGCCAATAAGTGAATAAGAAAGTGATTTTTGACATAGACCATCTTTATATATGCATCTATACTCATAATTTGACTTAGCTGGTGATAACACCTGTTCCTAGTTCCATTCATCCAGCGGTTTCTGGTGCTTTCCCAAATCACTAC